TTTCTTTAGGAAAAAAGTTCTTTCTTTATTATACAGTCCCCCACCCCAGACCACTTTACTATGCAGCTCTTTTTCTGGACTCTTGTCGTGCCAATAATACCTAATCACATATTCCTTTTATACAGTTCTCTCCCTCATCTGTTTCAATGCCATGTACATTATTTATCCCCTCGTTTGTTAGTTTCCCCCCAACCCCATGTCAGTCCTGTTTTATAACATTGGTATTATGCCATATTTGTCTTTTTGTGACTGAGATATTTCACTCAGCATAATGTCCTCCAAAGTCACTTATTTTGTATAATAATTCATGAGTTCCTTGTTTTTCAGCACAGCATAGAATTCCATTGTGTGAATATACCACAGCTTCTCTATCCATTCATTTGTTGGTGGGCACTTGGGTTGTTTCCAACTCTTTGCTATTGTGAATAAAGCAGCAATAAACATGGGTGTGCATATATATGCTTGGGGGAGGCAATTACAGTTTCTTTAGGGTATATTCCCAGTAGTGGAATTGCTGAGTCAAATGGTATCTCTATTTCTAACTTTTTGAGAAAGCATCATACTGCCTTCCACAGTGGTTGCACCATTTTACTATCCCACCAACAGTGAAAAGAGTTCCAGTTTCTCCACAACCTCACCAGCATTTGATGTTTGCTGCTCTGTTGAATTTTGCTATTCTGCCTGGGGTGAGATAATATCTCATAGTTATTTTGATTTGCCTCTCTCTTAGAGCTAGAGATTTTGAACATTTCTTCATGCGTTTGTTGGCCATCTGAATGTCTTCTTTGGTGAAGTGTCTGTTCATATTCAGTGCCCATTTTGCAATTGGGTTGTTTACCTTTATCTTGTTGTGGTGTATTTGATTAATTTTTAACAAGGTATAATTTGATATTAAATAATCTCTTTCAGAAGATATCTTCCTTCGAATCCACCAGATGCTCTGCTGAGAAGGAGGGACAATCTCCTCTTGTACTAGTCAGATCCAATTTGACAGTACACACATACAAAAATAATAAAATAATTTTTTAAAAAAAGAAGACATCTTCCAAATGAGATATAATTTTATATATTTGAAATGGATCATTAAGAAAATGAAAATATTTTCAAGCATAGCCACCCAGTTCTAGCTGCTATTAAGATGTCTGACTCAGGCAGCCCCAGGAGTGTCATAGATCTTTCAATGGCTGGCTTTTTCAGATGTAGTTCACAGACTTGTCTTAACGAGGTGACTGTGAATGGACTTGCCTACTGTTCAGGTAGCAACTGAATTCATGAAGTAACCACTCAGAATTCAGTGATCTTTTCTCCCCTTCATTTCTCCCATAGCAAGTGGAATAAAGGACTCCTTAGAATTAGTAAAGCTTAGGTTTAATTGACAAAATGTCCCACAGTACAATTAAGTTGATTTCTAGCTACTTCTTTATGCTGCCGTGGGGTGCTACCTTCTCTGATTTGTACAACAGTCTACTATTTGCACCTATTCCAACCCACACAGCAGTTGAAAAGTCATTACTCCAAAGACTCTGTTTTGTTCTTTAGATTACAAACGAAGCCCTCAGCAACATTCGCACTATTGCGGGAATTGGAAAGGAGAAGCGGTTTATCAAAGCATATGAGACTGAGCTGGAGAATCCATTCAAGACAGCTGTTCGAAAGGCGAACATATATGGCTTCTGCTTTGCCTTTTCACAATGCATAACATTTATTGCTAACTCTGCTTCTTATCGGTATGGAGGTTATTTGATCTTCTATGAAGAGCTGCACTACAGCTATGTGTTTAGGTAAGGACTGTGCAACCAAAGTCAAAGCACATCAGCACTCGGAGGAGCTGGAGTTATTAGTTGCCTTATGCTGCTTCATCTTGCCATTTTGTCTTTTGTTGCTTAACAAACTATCCCAAACTTTGTGTCTTAAAGCATCTGGGATTTATTATTACTCATGATTGATTTTTTTTTTTTTTGGCATAGTTCTGGTGTGGACAGATCACACAGAGCTGAGTTGGCTCATCTGGGACCTCAACTAGAGGCAGGAATGGCTGAGAAGTCTGGACTTCTGTCTCCATGGGTCTCTTGCAGATGGATAGGACTTCTTCCAGTTGTTATCTCAGGGGTCTGAGGGCAAACCCCAATAGACAAGAGCTTTCTCAGTCTCTATATGTTCAAACTTTCTACTATCCCATTGACCAATGAAAACTTTATGACCAAGCTCATATTTAAAGAATAGAGAAATACTCTTCATTTCTTGATTAAGAAAAAAGTAACAGCTCAAAGAGATGCATGTTAATGGTAGGATGATTTACCAGGACAATTTTTACAGTGTGACATTTTTACACAGTACTTAATACTGGGGAGAAATGGAAGCCTTGGGTTGACAAAAGCGGCTAGTTCCTGTTGAGCCAATTAGACTCAGGTGGTCCCATATGTATCAATCAATTAGTGCCGCACAGGGTTTCCAAGAAGAATTTTTTAGAAGCAGATGTCCAGATCTTTCTTATGAGGAGCCCTTGGATAGTCTCAAACCTCCAACCTTTTGGTTAGTAGCCAAATATATTAACTGTATACACCACCCAGGGACTCCAGATAGTTCATTGCTGGCCACTGACAAGTCAGAATTGACTCACAGCTGACTCTCCAGCTGACTTTCACAGGCAGCAAAACACAGGAGGACAGTCTCCTCCCATGCAATTTACTGCCTCTGAAAATCCACTGGAAGGTCCGCTACGAGTTGGTTCCAATTTGAAAGTAAACAATAACAATGCAAACCTAAAAAAAAACAAAATCACAAACTGTTAGCTTGGGTTTAATTAATTTATCTAAGAAATTTTAAGTAATTATTTGCAAATGTAAAAATTGGGAGTATTCTCAGTATCTGATTTCTTTTTATAAACTGAAGATCTTCCTCTACCATTTTTGGTTTTATTCCTGACTTGGTTCACAAAGATAATTTAATTTATAACCTCTGATCTAAAATTATTCCTGTTAATAAACTGAAGAATAAGATGCATGAAGACCTCCACTCCCCATGAAAGGCAGGGCCTCTGTAAACTGGTGTGGGGATATACAACTCCAGGAGTTTCATAACATGGTCTACACAGCAGAAGAGCTGTCTCATGCCATGTTTATCTCTGACTTACTCACTTATTCATTCATTTGTTAGTTAAATGTGTATTGAACACAATTAGAAGCTGCAATAGAAAAGAAGAGGAAAATAGGGTTCTTGTGCAGCCAGACCATAAGTTATATGCCACGTTTGCCCCAGAATTGATGCTTACATAAGCAATTATCATCTTGAACATGTTTGTTACAGATTGTGAGAAAGCTAGAATTGTAAGAAAACCACTCATCTAGTGATTGTTCAAGGTCCCCTTACTTTTTTTTTTTAGAAGTCTAGCTTATGTGTATTTTAATTTTCTTAAGAAAATTCTATTGTGGCTGAAGCAGGGTCTGGGAGTCTGAGCTCCCTTTGTTTGACTTGTCCTTACCCTTCTTGTGTCTACAGAAAATAGATTTATTCTGGCATAGGATGAAATTTGGAAACTGCCAGTCTTTCCAACCCTTGATTTTTCAGATAAGACGCACAGAGTGGAGATACCTTCCCAAAGTGACCTAGCTCTTTCCTAGCAGCACCAGGACCCCAAACTCCTGTCTCTTAAGCCGTACAACCAACCATACCCCAACTTTTCCTACCTGGCTGTTCATTCAATTGCAGGGTGATTGCTGCAGTTGTCCTGAGTGGAACAGCTCTTGGAAGAGCCTCCTCTTACACCCCAAGCTATGCCAAAGCTAAAATATCAGCTGCACGCTTTTTTCAACTGCTGGACCGAAAACCCCCTATCAATGTATACAGTAGTGCAGGTGAAAAATGGGTAAGTACTGCAGGTGGGGGCAGTGGGTAGTGGTAAGACAGAGTGTGTGTGTGTGTGTGTGTGTGTGTGTGTGTGTGTGTGTGTGTGTGGTGTGTGTGTGTATGCGTGCATGCGCGCACATACACAGAACATCATAGGGCTGCTCATACAATTTCACTTAGCTTTGAAATTCCTGCAGTATATGGACTAATTTATATGTACTTTTATACACTGGTAGTAGATGTATCCTTGTACAGGACTGAAGTAAGTGAATACTAATGATTTACTCATAATGCTGGCACTTGAATAAAACAATATCCAATAAAGCTAAATTCTGTATAATTCTGTAAAACGTGGTTTCAGGTCAGATAGCTCTGACTCCTACTCAAGCACCATGTTTTCCACTGATGTTAAGTTTTTCCTGTTCAATAGTATTAATTTGGTTCATGCTTGTCTAAGTTCATGTGATCTTCCCGAAAGTAAATGTAAGCACTACAAAATACATTTCCTATAACTGATAGTTTTCAGAGGTGTTATTTTTGTCTTGGTTGCCTACTTTTGAAAATCTTAGTAGGTTAAAAGCATTTTAAAAAAGGGCTTAATATCTACAAAGCTAAACTAAATTCAGAAGTCTTTTTAAATTGGCCAAATGACCTGTTTTCCTTCTGCTCAATAAAAGTCAAGTCTCTTTAGGCTCAAGTAGACGTCCATTCCGAGATCTTGTAATTCATACTATTTTAAACACACCAACATGAAGTTCAAAGGTACTTCAGAGCTTGCGTATTTTTGTCTCCAGGCCATTTTAAATACAATTCCTTTATTTAAGTCTTTTTGGGATCAGAGTTGTAGGAAGTTGGGCAATTGTTGGTTTCTGTGATGTTTTAATGCTTTCAACTGATTCACTTTTTCTCTGAATGACTAAGAAATTTCCTCAGGTTAGACTAAAAAATAAGAGATCTGATTTCTTTACCTTCACTGTCCAATTTTCCTTTACACCTGATAGAGGAGGGATAGAATGACTTTTAATTAAGTTGTTGTCTCTATACTGCTTATTTTGGTAGCACCGTGTCTTACTTACCTAGTGCTGTGCTGCTATAACAACAACAGAAATACCACAGTGGAGAGTTGTAAAGAACAGGAATTGTTTTTCTGCAGTTCCAGAGGCTAGAGGTTCTAAGAGCAGGACGTAGAGAGAGGTCCTTGTCTGTTTCATGCTTCAGTTCAGATTGACTGGCAATCCTTGGAGTTCCTTAACTTTATAGATGCATTTCCCTTGTGTGTCTGTCTTTGTATGCTGTCTCACTTGTGTGTATTTTGTAATTTTTATAACATTGAAATTCATTGTCTCCGAGTCAATTCTGACTCATAGTAACTCTATAGGACAGGGTAAAATTGTCTCATATCATCATCGCTAAGGGTATAATATTTGTTTTTGTGTATGAAAAATATTGAATACACACTCATGTTTATTATAAAATTATTCACGCTAGCAAAGAAATGGAAGCAGCCCAACTGCCCATCAACAAATGGGTAGAAAAATCATGGTACATTCACATAATGGAATAATACAAGGCATTATGACCTTTATGGAGGCCACCAGCAACATCTTTCCCTCATGTACTAGCTAGTGGATTTGAACCCTTGTCCTTTGATTAGACATTGAGCCCTTTAAACACTGCACAATTAGGGTTACTTTTCTGTGTAATTCAGACATGATTAAATTTAGTGCCTACCCTATGGTGCCTACCATCAAGTAGTAATCGACCCGTGGCTGACCCTCCAGTGGCAGTAAATCACGTGGGAGGAAATTACACATGTTTCTCCTGTGGAATAGGTGGTCGATTTGAACCAAGTGCCTTTCGGATGGCAGTGCAGTTCCTTAGTTCCTTACCACTAAGCCACCAGTGCACCTCATTAATTATAATGAAGTAAAATTCTGTTTCTGAACAGGATTACATTTACAGTTTCCATGAACCAAGACTACCTTTTGTTGGGATATACTTTGATGTGTAACACATGATGTTGAAGGAGATCTTAATTAAAGAAGAGTTTTTAAAAAAAAGATTTAGGTGCACTTTTCAAATTCTGGTCCACAGTAGAAACAGATGTGACTCCTATCCTCTCTCCACAGGACAACTTCCAGGGGAAGATTGACTTTCTTGACTGTAAATTTACATATCCTTCTCGACCTGATGTTCAAGTTCTCAATGGTCTCACAGTATCTGTTAATCCAGGGCAGACACTGGCCTTCGTTGGAAGCAGTGGATGTGGCAAAAGCACCAGCATTCAGCTGTTGGAACGTTTCTATGATCCCGATAAAGGGAAGGTGGTAAGCAATGCAAACACTTGCGGATTTCCCTTTGCACAGTCCCTCCAGTGGCTGAGGGCAGTCTTCAAGATCGTGCCTTTCCAGTCTCACTCGAAAGTACTTGCCTTGTATATTTACCCCTTGGATGGGACCCAGTGATTTTCTGGCTGACCTGATTCTACCTCAGATTTTCAAACATCAGTTCTTCCCAGATACAGACGACCAGCTGACCCACAGGCAAAGGCGAGGGTATTTAACAGACGTGCTCACTTACCCGTAAATGGAGCAGAAAGTGCAGACTAATCAGGAAACTAATGACCAGAAATGGAAAAAAGCTGGGAGTGATAAGGAGAATAATATAAAGATAAATGAGCAAGGCTAGGACTTAACATGGAAATCTGAGAAAAATTCTGATTCAAGACGTTAAGGCCAAATAAGATATTCTAACAGTCATGTACCATAAAACCTTTGGTAGAGATCTTTGAAAAATCAGTAGCTTTTTTGGTTGCTTATTTTTGTAGCTTTCCTTTCTTCTCTTTCTTGCCTTTCCCCAAAAATTAATGCCTACTATTTTGTTATTATTAAATGCTGTCTAATCACTTGTGACTCACAGAAACCTCATGTATAACAGAACCAAACACTGGCTGATTCTGCATCAATCTCACAATTGTTGTTATATTTATGCTAATTGTTGTGGCCCCTGGGCCAATCCATCTGGCTGAAGGGTTTCTTTTTTTTTCTTTTTTCTCTTTCACTAATCTTTTACTTTTCCAAGCATGTCATTCTCCAGAGACAGGTCCATCCTGAGGACACGTTCAAAGTACTTGAGATGAAGTCTCACCATCCTCACTTCTTACTCTTTGATCTTCCCCATATACTGGCGAGCTTTTGAATACATACAAAGTGACTGATAACGATGACTTGGTCCAGGCACACCTTAGTCCTCAGTCTTGGCTTTGGAACATTTTAAAAGATCTCTTTTCTGTCAGACTTTCCCAGTGCAGTATATTGTTTTTATTTCTTTAAAAAGGTTTTTTAAATTATGTTGTTTATTTTATTGACAATAGTTTTTTCATGGACATAAACAGTGGATCAAAGTAAAATGAAATACTGATAACTTCAATTTTTTTACCACTTATTATGATGTTGCTTATTAGCCCATTTGTCAGATTTGTTTGTTTGTTTTACTTATGTTGAGATGCAATCCATATCGATTTTGGGTCTTCATCCACAGATGCTTTAAGTTCTCTTCACCTTAAACAAGATTGTGTCATCTCCATATGTCACATATTGCTAATGCATGTAGTATATTAGGTTGTTTCAAAAATAATGCATGTTTTTAAACCGCAATTTGAAGTTCTAGAATTCTACTCAAACTTAATCTTATTAATTGCAATAAGAACCATTATGATCTACATTTTTGCCAATAAGGTTCAGGATTGTTTATTCTTGTTTTATAAAATTTCAGCATTTTGGAATTGACACATTTTATGAAGGCATTTTCAGCAGCACCTTGGTCTTTGAAGAGTTGTGCCTGCAAAAACTTGTCAAGGTGCTTGAAGACATGGTAGTCTGTTGGTAAGAGGTCTCATGTGTATGTTGAAGGAGGCAGAGTTTGTAGCCCATTTGTTGACTTTTGGTCTAGAGGGGTTGTACAGAAAGATAGGACCATATTTACTGAACAATGCTGAATACAAACACTGCAGATTTACATTAATTTCATGGTCATGCTTGTTCGGTATAATGATATCATCCAGATTCAAGGACTGGTAGTGAATTAATCCAGCTGCAGACCCCCAGAAAGTCACCATAACCTTTTGGTGTAAGCTTGATTTGGGACAGTGTTTCACCTAAGATCCAACCACAACATCATTGCTTGTCATGTTGTTGTTGCATATGGCAGAGTTGGAACCAGCTCATAGCTGACCCTCCAGTGGATTTTCAGAGGAAGTAAATAGCACGGGAGGAGACTGCCCATCCATCTCCCACAGAGCAGCTGGTAGATTCGAACTGCCTCCCTATGGGTTGGCAGCATGTTCTTTACTTACTCCTAAGCCACCAGCACTTCCTCATTGGTCATCATAGAGGATCCATGTTTCATCACACATTACAATGTAATTTAGAGATGGACATTAGGCAAAAGAAGTGCAGAACAGATTTCAAAGCAATGTTTACTTTTATTTTCATTTAGTTATTGCAGAAACCCATTTGTAAAGAGAGTCTTCACCCTCCAAATTTACTCGAAATGACAAGCTACCATAAAATGAAGGCCTCCCCTACCTTCGTCATCTTCTAGTTCTAATTCACTCACAGTAGGGACATTTTGAAACCGATTTTGCACAGTGCATCCACTGACACATCACTGATATTTTAAGCTATTTGTGCTGTGCTATAGCTGTTTGAATTCATAAAAGTTGATTTGGCAAAAATCTTATTTTAACAGTCTTTATACTAAAAATACCTAACTATTGAATTTTTATTTAAAACTAACTGCACAGAAAGAATGAGCATAAAATAAGCTTTAAAATTTTATGTTGTTGTTGTTGTATACCATTGAATCAGAATCAACCAGCTCTGTAGCTGACCTTCCAGTGGGTTTTCAGAGGCAGCAAATGGCATGAGAAGAGATTGGAGCACCTAGTGAATTTGAATTGCATACTTTTGCATTGGCTGTGCAATCCATACCACGAAGCCACCAGAACTCCCTTTAAAATTATATAGAACACATTTGTATGGTTGCCAGCACTAGGAATCCACTCAACAACACCTAACAACAACAGCACAGGGAGTGAGAAGAGATGCTTAGCAGCAAATCATTTTAGCGTGTGGCCAATATGCATGTCCAAGACCTCAAATAATCTCATGTTCATAAATAATAGCAAATTGCGCTAAAATATATTTCATGATATGTGAAGATGTAAAAAAAATTATATAGAACACTTATTATTTGTACTAAGATTTGTTGTTGTTATGTGCCATTGAGTCGCCTATGACTCATAACGACCCTGTGTACAAGAGCCCTAAACCCTGCTCTATCCTGTGCCAATCTCACTGTCTCTGACACACCTACCCTCATTACCCTAGTCACTAAATCAATCCACATCATAGAGGTTCTTCCTCTCCTGTGCTGTCCCTCTACCTTCCCAAGCATGATGTCCCTCTCCAAGGTCTGATCCTGCCTGGCAACATGTCCAAAGTATGTCAGACAAAGCTTCAGAATCCTTGACTCCAAGGAGCAGCCTGATTTAACCCTCTCTAAGATGAACACTTACTGCAGAGGGTCAAGGACTGCAGCCTTCAATATGGACTGAGGCTCAATGTTAAGAAGATAAAAATTCTCACCACTGGACCAATCAGTAGCATCAGGATGGATGGAGAAGAGATTGAGATTGTTCACAGCTTCAGTTTGCTCGGCTCCATGGTCAACACTCTTGGCACCAGTAGTCAGGAAATAAAAAAATGTATTGCGATGGGAAAGTCTGCTGTTAGGGACCTCTCTAAAGTACTCAAGAGCAATGGTGTCTCTCTGGAGACTAAGGTGTGCCTGATACAGGCCATGGTTTTTGCAATCACTTGTTATGCATCAGAGAGTTGGACAATGACTAAGGAGGATAGAAGGAGAATTAATGCCTTTGAGCTGTGGTGCTGGAGAAGAGTATTGAATGTACTATGGACTGCCAAGAAAACAAACAGATTCATCCTAGAGAGGATTAAACCAGGCTGCTCCTTGGAGGCAAGGATTCTGGGGCTTCGTCTGACATACTTTGGACATGTTGTAAGAAGAGACAGGTCTTTAGAGAGGGACGTCATGCTGGGTAGAGTAGAGGGACAACGCAGGAGGGGAAGACCCTCTATGAGGTGTATTGATTCAGTGACTGGGGTAATCGGGATGGGTGTGTCAGAGGCAATGAGATTGGCACAGGATAGAGCAGGGTTTAGGGCTGTTGCACATAGGGTCGCTATGAGTCGCAAATGACTCGACGGCACATAACAACAAATAACAACAACAACAACAACAACAACAACAACAAAGATGAACCTGTTTGTTTTCTTAGCAGTCTACTGTATATTTCTCTTCTCCAACACCACAGCTCAAAAGCATCAATTCTCTTTCTTTCATCCCTAGTCATTGTCCAGCTTTTTGATGCATAGCAAGTGATTGCAAAGACCATGGACTGTATCAGGCAAGAAGTTCAAGCTGCTTTGAAATAATTGGCAAAAAATAAGGCCTCAGGAATTGATGGCATACCAATTGATGTATTTCAACTAACAAATGCTGCCATAGATATGTTCACCAAGTTGTGTCAAGAAATCAGGAGGACAACCACTTGGCCAACTGACTGGAAGAGATCTATATTCGTTCCCATTACAAAGGAAGGTGATCCAGCAGAGTGTGGAAATTATCAAACAAGATCATTAATATCATATGCAAGCAAGATTCTGCTGAAGATTAGACAAAAATTACTGGAACAGCACATCAGCAGAGAACTGCCAGAAGTGCAAGCTGGGTTTAGAAGGGGTTGTGGTACTAGAGATATTGTAGCTAATGTAGTAGATTTATTATTAAATTATTAGATAAAGATTAGGCAATAGAAATACTGAACTATTTTTGCTTCAGGTAACTATTATACACAAAGGGTGATAAAGCTAAATAGGAAAGAAAGTTCCACAATGAAAAATAATTTTCTGCTTCACCCATTCAACCTTCTGTCTTAATTAACTGTCACTAGTGAATAATTTTAACAAACAAATGTCTTAATTTAGAATTTTGTGTTGATTGGTAGTGACATTGGCTCGACTATGATTCACTTTGACCCTATGTACAACAGACTGAAATCTTGCCTGATCTTGCATTGTCTTTGTGATCTCTGGCATGCTTAATTAAATGATGTAATTGCCATGCTAGTTCATCTCAATAATGGTTTCTTCTCCTTCTCTGACTCTTCTTTGGCAAGCATGGTGCCCTCTGCAAAGGACTTACCTTTCTGAATAACATGTCCAAAGTATGTGAGAAAAAGTCT